CCACTGCGTTACGTATCGTCGTCCGGTATCCCTATCCTCAAGGCAATGGTACAGCGTTACTTATCACCGTCCAGTCCATGCCTGGTCAACTACTGCGTTAAGTATCGTCGTCCAGTAGTGACCCAATATCCTCGACCAACTTCTGCGTTACGTATAGCCGTCCACCAGTGATCCGACCATCTACCGCGTCCAGTAAGGCCAAACCGCCCGGGGGTTCATCTTACCATACATCCACACACATTCATACACATACATAGCACAACGCGTGCCTCCACCTTAAGTAGGCAGTGGGATGCCTCACACACATAATCGCGCTTACTTGAAAATAACAAACATAACTGAATTAAAAGACATAAACTAAAAGACCCTGATGGAGATTTTACGCCCTTTACACTCACCTTAATAACCAGTTGACGACTTGACGCTCCCGGCCAATGTGTTCGAACCCCAATCTACTAACAGCGACCACAATTACGTCCCTATAAGCATTCCCACTGGTGCATTATAGCATCATTGGGCCTCGTGGCCGAGTTCGTGGTCGAGTTGGGCTTAGTAATTAGGATTATTATTAGTTAATTGTTAAGTTAATTATTATGATTATTCTTATTAGTTTATTATGACTTGTTGGGTAAGTTACTATTTACTTGTTGGGTTGGGATTAGTTTACCTTATTTGAGAGAGAAAGGGTTTGTAGAGTATTTCTACAAATATGTACGTTGTTCTTTGGTTTTAGTACGTCAATGAATAATAAACCAGCTTAGTAGTATTCGTAGGATTAGAAGTAAAGTAATTTAGCGATCTTCGAAGTGTGAATTCTCGCCACCCACCTCCTCGTACAGAACAATTACCCATGGTTTCAAGACCATTAACTCTGTACGCACAGCATTTTTACGCCACCATTCTTTAACCAAATCCCTTCCTCCTGCCATGAGAAACGTATTGTTGCTCTATTAAGTATTAACCAAAAGAGGACAAGCCTTTACCCTTGCTACCCACGTGAATTCATGCATGCATTGGTTTACAATGTTGATTCTAGCAACACTAATCGTCCTCCCTTCCATTATATACCAACACAACACCACAGCCCTATCTCAAATATTACTCGACATGTCCATCACACAATAAAGCCAAACCTCCGGTGCATCACTTTCCCCAACCCGAAGCCCCGCCGCAAAACAAATGCCATGATCAATGACATCTCATATGCAATTACTAAGCTCAACGAAGGATTGAATTACTTACTCGTAGTGCAAGTGGATGGAGAAGGCAGGCACAGCAAGACTCCGATCTCTACTAGCAGCGGCAGTGATTATTTTGGAGAGGCTGGAGGGAATTTGACGAGCCGAAAAGAAAGGGTTGAGCGGTGGTTTGTGATCTGTGGCAGCGGAGGAAAAACAAATGGAATTTATTCTCCTTGGGCTCATCTAAATGGTGCCGAGTGAGGGTGGAGTAATTAGATTTAATTGACCGGGGAATTTTGAGAATTTCACAGTGAGTTTGATCCGAAATTCAATTAACGTTCGTAACTTTCTCATTTTATGTCGAAACTTGACACCGTTTGAACCGAGAGTTCACATTCTTAATCATCGTCAATATTACGGTGGAATTTAACAAATTATGACCAAAGGCATAATGCTCATTTTCACTTAGGGAAAGGATGGGGTGTAACAAAGTTTATTGGCAATAAAAGTCAAGGGTCCATTGGCTGAAGAAGGGAGACAAGAATACCTAGTACTTCCATACAGTCACGAGGGGCCGCCGAAAACGTAATTTTGTATCTGGCCTTCGAGATAGCGCTGGTGAATGGATCACTGAAGAGCAAGGTAAAGCTAACATTGCCATAGATTTCTATCGGCATCTCTTTACCTCGGAAAATTCGGTGTTGAATATGGAAGAGCGCGTGGCCAACCTGCCCATAGATCGGCGATTCACAGACGAAATGAATGCTATTCTTGCAGCAGAAGTCCTCCCGAATGAAGTTCGAAAAATGATATTCTCTATGGGGTCTAAACAAGGTCCGGGCTCTGATGGCTTCACGGGAAAATTTCTAGAAGCTTTCTGGGATATTGTCGGCAGTTCAGTGATTGAAGCGGTATGCTCATTTTTTTACCACGGGCAGGATGCTCCGCAACTTTAATCATACTTGGCTGACACTGATCACTAAAGTGAACAATGTTGAGAATATGAGACAACTCATGCCAATTAGTTTATGTTAATTTATGTATCAAATTATAACAAAGATCATGGCAGAAAGATTGGTTTGCTTTTTACCTCGGATCATTTGTGAAGGCAAAAACGCTTCATCCGGTAACGGCAAATAGTGGAGAATTTCCTTCTAGGGCATGAGTTAATGCATTACTTGAAAATCAAAACTCAAGAAAAGAAATGGTACGTGACTCTGAAGGTTGGCATGGAAAAGGCCCATGATAGAGTCGAATGGCCATTTCTCGTAGTTGTTCTAGACAAGATGGGTTCTAACTCAACTTGGCAGGGCTAGATACAAGAATGTCTCCGATCCACGCGTTCTCGGTTCTTATGAATGACACCCCTTCTGGATTCTTCTCACCATCTAGGGGTCTTCGGCAGGGGGATCCGCTATCTCCACTCCTGTTTGTGATTTTCACGGAGGGGTTTGAAGTGCTCCTTCATCAAGCCATTTCTCGGGGGCAATTAGAAGGGGGTTAAATTTGCACCTCGAGTTCTCGGATCTCGCATCTTCTTTTTTTTTTTTTTTTTTTTTTGCAGATGACTCTTATTTATTCCTACAAGGATCTCTCCAAGAATGTGAGAATTGATTGAGGTTTTATATGTGTATGAGGTGCTCAGTGGTCAAAGGGTCAATTTGGATAAATCGGCAGTTTGCTTTAGCAAAAACATCTCAATATCGGATCAAGAGTTCATAGCTCAGATTTTATGTGTGGGGGTTGTGGGTGTCCAGGATAAATATCTGGGACTGCCTACTCTCATTGCACAGTCCAAAATGGCTACGTTTCGGTACTTGGAGGAGAAACTGCTTGATCGCCTTCAGGGATGGAAGCAGCGGACTTTGTCTTTGGCAGCTAAGGAAACTTTGATTAAATCAATTGCTCTCGCTCTGCCACTTCATGCCATGTCCTGTTTCAAGCTACCATTAGCACTTTGTCGCCTCCTCGACAAACATGTGGCCAGATTTTGGTGGGGGGCTCAAGTGGTTCAGTTTAGGATACGATGGATGTCCTGGCGTAATATGTATCGGAGTAAACATGAGGGAGGAATGGGCTTTCATCGATTTAAGCATTTTAATCAGGCTCTACTTGCCAAAATTGGATGGCGTATACTCCACGAACCCCATTCCCTCTTGGCGCAGGTTTATAAAGAAAAATATTTTCCTCATGGGACTTTTCTTAATGCTTATGCTCGCTCTCACCCATCTTGGGGATGGCAAAGCATCCTTTATGGTCGAGAGCTATTGGCAGTGAGCTTTGATGGCAGATTGGCAATGGTAAAACAGTGTATCTGCTTCATTTTAGTTGGATTCCACGGTTACATCCTCAGGCCCCAATTTATAACCCTAATATTCTACTGGACATTGGTGATCTCTTGGTAGCAGAGGTTCTCTGCCCGGGGGAAGGGCGGTGGTTGATTAGAAACTCAGTCAGTGGTTCGACCCAACAACCTGTCGTGTCATTAAAGACATTTCTCTTCCTCGTCAAGAGGTGGAGGATAGATTAATATGGCATGGCTCTGCTGACGGGGTTTTCTCTGTTAACTCTGCCTATCATTTTGTTGTCCTGTTAGATAAGTAGAGAGGTAGATGGAGATCCCTGGCTAGTTGGATGGATAGACCTAGTTGGATTAAATTGTGGGAAGCAAATATATCCCCGAAGTTGAAAGTGTTTGTCTGGAAAATTTTCAACAGAATCTTGCCAACGACGGAAGCTCTAATAGAGAAAAATGTTGAGATACTTCCTCGTTGTCCGGTTTATTGGGCAGAATCAGAAACAATGGAGCACTTGTTTCTTGACTGCCCAGTAGCTAGGTCTTTATGGGATTAATCGAGTCTTAAATATCTTGGTCAGGGTTTGCCTCGACCCACTTTCCACTATTCCTAAAGAAATTGATGTTACTCATAGGTCAATCTCAACTTTTCATGGCAATGGTGGTCATCCTTTGGCGGATCTGGCGATCCCGGAACTGGGTTGTATTTGAGGGAAAACAGTTTAGCATCCCTGCTCTGATGCGTCAATTCCACCAACAATACCAGGAATGTGTTAGTTTGCCACCTGCCCAGTTTCCCCAGTGTTCTGCCTCCCCACCTCATCCCTTGGATATTGTCCACCCAAATGCGGTAGTTTGTATGTGGGATGGGGCAACTAAAACTGGGTCTCATTTGGCCGGCAGGATTTCAGAATCAAAGTGGAAAAGTCCTCTTGGTTGCAGGAGTGCAGTTTCCTATGTTGTATGATCCTCTGGTTGTTGAATTGCTGGTTCTCCGTGAAACTATTCTCTGGTGTCTAAGCCTGGGATTGACAGAGATTAAATTTGAGGGGGATGCCAAAGTGGTAATTGACAAGATCAATCGGGCTGATACCCACGATAATCGCCTAGGGACCATTCTTGAAGAGGTCGTGTATTATTTTGCGAGTCACAGCGGGCTTAGCGTGCGGTTTGTAGGACGGTGTAGCAATAGGGTAGCCCATTTGGTGGGTGGAAGGCCCCTTTCTTTATACCCGATTACGAATCGTTTCTTTGATTTTCTTGCCTAACTTTAGTCCAAAATGTGATTATCTCTTCTCTAACCAATATATAATTATCTTTTGTAAAAAAAAAATACTTTTAACTCGATCACACAAAAAGTCATCGGCAAACGAGATCAAGAAGAGAAAATATGACTGTCTTTGTTACTCCTCGATTACACAACAAACAAGCAAGCACTTTGTTTATATGAACTGCCGTTTTGGGTGGCTTGTTCGTGAAGCAACTAATATCAACACACTTTCAAAACTCAAGTCTGTTTCAGTAGCCTGCATAAAGGAAACAGAGAGAGCGCACAGTCACAGAGAGCAATTCCGATGGAGTCGATTCAAGTCCAAGAAATGAGCACCCAAGAAGTCCTCAATCAAGAACTCCACAACATCCAGGAAACCAAAGAAGCAGCGGAATCAATCGACCTCGCCGTCCTCCGCCTGAACGCCGACGACGACCACCACCACCACTCTTCTCACTCTCCCTGCCAATCCTGCGGTTGCTCCGGCGGCCCCTCTTCCTCCAGAAAGAACAAGCGCCGCTCGTCGGACGTGGGTTCTTTCTCCACTCCTCCCCTGTCCCTAGCCGCCGCCGCGGAGAACCCAGAACGCGATTCCCGATTCCAGCTCTCCAAGAGGCCCAAGAAGCTGTTCACCGAATCGTCTCCTGAAACCCTCGCCGGCGTTGTCATTCCGCAGGGGTTTTCCAAAATCGCTCTCCCTCTCCCCGCCCAATCGGTTTCTCCACCACCAACGGGATCCCCAGCTCCCACTGCCGCCCGTAATTCCTCTCCCATTCTCTGCCGCCCGCCTCCCTTGTTTTTCTCTGGACTGGACGGCGGTTCTTCTCAAACCCTAACTCCTCAATCGCCGCCCATCAGTAGCGTCGTCCCGAACGATTCCGCCACGCCGTCGTCCAAGGCGCCGGGATCCTCTTCCCGTCCTCCCCTGCCGCCGTTGAGGAGATCGTGGTCGCTACCGTCGCCTGACAAACCCGCTCCGTCGGGTTCCAATGACGCGGTTTCAGCCAATCCCCCACACCATGGAGAGGTTAGGCAAACGAATTCGTCGCTCTATCTTGAACCCTTGATATTTTGTTAAACCCCTTTCTCTCAGTTGTTTAATTGGGTTGATGCCATTAGTTATTGGGTTGCTGGGAAATTCAGTTCTTCATTTCGGATTGGGGTTCGATGAACTCTAAGATCAGAGAGTTCTGTTTGTAACTGGCAGAAGCTGAAGGCAGTTGGGAATTGGATCAAGGAGGTAGCTAAGTGGTGGGATGAATTTCACACTGTTGATGAGATTGCACCAGAGGTAGTCAACCCAGAAGAGAAGAAAGTCTCTGTTGATGATGGTGATAGTGATATTGCTTCTAATGCAGTTAAGGTATACTGTAAAACTTAGTTTCCTAGTTGAATCGATTGAGTTACTTGTATTCAGAGAATTGTATCATGTGTTAAGTGGTAGATGATGAATTTGATGGGATTGTTTTTTTCTGGTTCGTAGCAGGATGGCAAAGAGTCTGCAGGTTGTGAAGAGTCTGTGAACGTGGAGAGGACAGGTGAATGCTTGATCATAAACTTCAAGTGTCCATGCGAGAAAGGGTATCAGATTCTTCTCTCTGGAACCAGCTGTTACTACAAGCTCATGTAGATGATTCACTGCATGTACAGACAGACTGATGTACCTCAATTCTTTAGGGGGTTTTACATTGTTCATAGAATCTTCTTTCTGGAGTAAGCTTGCTGTTGGAGAAGTTTCTTATGGAACGAGGAGGGTGTTTTTTTTTTTTTTTTTTTTTGTATAGACAGATGACAGGGTTTTTTACCATCTCGCTCGATGGCTACTTTACTTGCTCCCATGTGAGCTATGTTGTTGTTGATGATGATAACGAATAAAACTAGACTGTTCCTTGAACCGATGTGTGAAGTGTGATGCACTCTTATGGTTTTCTTCTGCTATTTGTATGGATGATTTGCGTGTAATTTGCCGATTGGTGACACGAAAGGATTGATCTTTACTTGTAATGATCCTCTCCACTTTACCAAGTGGATAAAATCTGGAATGTTTGTGTGTGAATTCTGAGTACCAGGAGTTTGATTCATTGCCAATGCACTTGAAATCTCTGCTTATACTAGCGTTTCAGAGCTGTCAGCTGTGGGCCACCAGTTACTTGAAGTTCAAGTCTCCCTGCCAAAAAGCCATTAACTGCTATTCAAATTGGTTCACCTTGGTTTTGTTATAACTTATAACTAAGGTTTGAAGTCTCAATTCTCAGTTTGAAAGGTTTGACGATTGGATAATCAGGTCAACAGTTGAAAATGGGTTGAATTGGTTCATCTTAAAGGCTTAATGTGAATCGGTTAGTTGCCGGACCAGCTCCAGGTCCAATAAGGAAAGCCCAAAAACGGCCCAGGCGAGGCAAGGCTGCCTCCGTCGTCCCCGATTCAATACTCTCTGCGTCTAGTCTAGTAGTTGGAAGAATCAGGACGGAGTTGCTGTGAGCTGATTCCAGAAATTACATCACCGGAAAATGGCTTCAGGCGATTCGAAACCGCAAGAAGGAGACGCCGCATCTAAACCACCGTCGGCCGAGCGACAATCACCTTCTCCTTCGCTCTCCGAGAATTGGAAGGAGCGTATATTACTCCCCACACTTGTCGCAGGTTTTTATTTTGTTTTCCTTTCTCTTACCTTGTCCGCCTTTACGCGGCCCTTTGTCCGAAATCGGCCAAATTGAAGGGCTTCTGGTTTCTTCTTTATTTGCAGGAGCTGGTGGTGGAGGATACGGGCTGGTTTCTAAGCATCGGACAGTACAAGGGTTTCCCCACATTTCAGCTGCTTACGCTGCTAATTTCGCCATTGTCGCTGGCTGCTACTGCGGTAATGATCTTCCCATCCTATTCTCGAATTTCCTTTGCTTTTGACGAAAACAGCAACATAGGAGAACTCCGGGTGTTCCCTTGACCTGAACTTAGGCTAGTTTTCTGATATTTTTCTGGAAGAATGACATAGCAATAAAGCTATTTTGTTCTAATTCTTGGGAAGACCCCATTTTGTTCATGTTGATCCCACTCTTGATTTCTTGCGTGGTTGATGCTGGAATAGTTTTTCGGTTTCTCTTCGAATTAGTTGAATTCACTCTCTTGTTCTGCATTTCTTTGAAGCAATAAGCTGGCCTGGCATTAACTAGTTACTATGCCTCACGGTTTGCAAAAAAATTGTTTGGTCTGTAATAACATCAGAATTCAGAAGATTATCCTGAGGATCACTTGAATGGTGTTCTTCATAAGCATATAGGAATTTACTACCCGCGTCTAGAATAATGCAGGTGAATTAGTTTGCTAATAAGATTTCGTTTCGACTGGACGAGTGGGCACCAGGATCATTTCGAGAATTGTAATAAGCTCTAGGAAGTACTGTGCAAGTATGTTTTGTGATCAAAACTCTATTTTGTCCCCGTGCGTTTAGTTATGTTCGTACACAATTCTTGATCTACCCGATTTACTGCAACGGTTTTATCTACAGGAGCAAGGGAATTCGTAAGAGTAACGCGGAAATCAGGCCCTGATGATCTGCTAAACTCTGCCATTGCTGGTTTCAGTACTGGTGCTCTTCTTGGACGTCTTCAAGGTTAACTCTCACCTCTTTTGCCTCTCTCTTGTCCTTTTTTCCTCCGGGGACATCCGATTATATTGTTCTTCTCTCTCTCTGGACATCTGAGTGCTTCTGTTTTCTGAGTTGCAGGTGGCCAACTGGGCGCTATTCGCTACTCATTCATCTTCGCTATTGCTGGGACCTCAGTTGATTTCGCTACCATTAAACTAAGACCCAAACTAAGGAGTCTAAAAGAATCCATATTTGGCGACGAGAAAAACGAAGGCGGAGGATGGAAGTTGCCTGTATGGTCTCCAATACAAGTGCTCGATGAGGATGCTCTGGCCAAGAAAGAAGCTCGAGAGAAACAACTTAAAGCACAAAGATTAGCTCTGATCAAGTTAACCAAAGAAGAGTCATGAAAAAGCAAGAAGACCCATATTTTGCCTTTCTGCTCCGAGTTCCTGTTATTTTTAGATGCCTGCCTTTGGTTAGCAACCTGCAACCTGTTGAGGAGCTCTCTAAATCGTTTTTTCTGCTAGCATTTCCTGCAACAGTAACTCAGCAAGCTGTGAGTTCTCAATTCTCATATTGTACAAAAGAAGTTGCAAGGCCTAATACATGACCCGACCTCTGTGGACTGCATTTTCCCAACAAGAGCTGTGAATGTAGCGTGTTATCTAAGGCATAATACATGGTTACTTCTGGTTCCGGTTTGTTCTTATGGATTTGCATGTTTTTGCCAAACATGGTTACTTCTGCTACCATCATCACTCTAGCCGCAAACCACCAGAATTTGGCCAACTTCAGCTGCAGTAGCTCAAATTTGACTGCTGATCCATGGATTCTGCCGCTTCCCCCAAGAAGAGAATTGAGAGGAGAGATTTAAACTGGAAAAATTACCATCAAATCTCACTCAGGAACTTTCCCCATGTCTTACATTGGTGCTATTCATTTCCAAACGCCAAGTCTCTGAAACGCAATCAGAATTGCAAGCTCCACGCAACAAGTTGAGTGTCGTTTGGCGTAGACTACAGAGCAAGTTCGGGGCAGGTTAAAGGGGAATGAAAGATTTAAACTACATAACTCCGAGAGGGTTGCCACAGACCTCTATCACTATCCACTAAATTACAACAAAGAACCCTAGTTTACCACCACTACATAATCACATATAAGCATGCTCATAGAGCTCGCTGCCCCAGGCAGGGCTCTAGACTGCCCTACCTATGAGAGCAGTGACACTAAGGAGACGAACTCCAGGGTGACTCGGCCTTTGGACCTTGTGTTAATGACGAAATGCTCGGGGTACCTTCTCAGCAACATAAGCAAGCCATACCATGGTTTCTCCTTGGCTTCTGGGCTCTTCCACTCCTCAGATGTTAGGTATCTTCTCACTCGACTATGATGCCAGACACTGCCAAACTGTTCCAACAGCTGAAACAGAGGTAGAAGATTGTATGAGGTTATTGATAAAAGCTTGAGGACTTTGCATAATCATCAGATCACGATTAGCTTTTAAGCTGGTTGCACCCACAGAATAACAAAATAAAACTGTCCAGCTTCAACACCATACTTAAGTTTATTGCAGGCTAAACATATCTAACCAATGGGTAGAATCAAAGATAATAATGCTGTGGAGAACAAGAAAGCATTTCTTTCAACATGGGAGTTGACAAAACAAAGCCAAAAAGAATAGATTCTGAGAGAGTAAGGATATTTTTTATGTGCCAAATGCATTTTCCTATCAATTAAGAATATTTTTTAGTGGATATTTTTTATGTGCCAAATGCATTTTCCTATAAGCGTGTCTCGAGGACTTGGAACTTAAAGGAGGGAGTGCCAACAACTGGAAAACACAAATGAAAAGATAGTATGCATGTCCATGTAATCGCAGGAACCTTTCTACTACAGAAAGTTAATTGATAACTAACCTCGGCATGGAGTTTCTCCATGGGCATCCATTCTCCAGGCCCGCACAGATCTGATAGCACGGTGGCTACAGATGACACCACATCTTTTTCCTCCAACTGTTTCAGCTGTTGATCATCAGTATCACGGTCAGCTCTAGACCTTCCATCCGCCTTCTTCTCTGCAGGAGCAGAATATAGAGATATGACCATCCAACAAACAGACAACAAAACAAACAAAGATCATTTAAGGATAAAAGTACATATGAGACATGGCATTTACCATACATAGAAATCTAAAAACAGAAAACCTAGTTTTCAAGATGAGACGAAAGCATGAACCCATGTTTGTCACAAAGTAAACTATCGTGGGCTTCAAACATGTCTATAGTTTACCCCTTCAAGCAATGAATCCACCTTCCATCAACAAAATGCAGTCCCTCTTTATCAAAAAACAAAATGCAGTCCCTACTAATTCTAATTACCAAGGGTATAACCTCAGCAACTCAGCATGGATTAGTTGCACAGAAGCTCGCAAATTTGGGGATGTGAGTAGATGCACCCACCATACTCCATACATGGCAAATAAACCTTAATAGGGAGAAAATGACAATATGTAGAACAAAACGTATAGCAATTTGTTCGTTCCCTCTCCCATAAATCTGAAATAAATAACACATCAACCTGATTGGGACTGCTAGTTTGGACAGCATTTAAGTTTAATTGTTCAACCATATTAGTATCAAAAGGACCAGTTGCATGATGTAGAAGCCTTGTCATTTTATGTGAAAAAAGGTGATCTATTGAACCAAATAATGTTGGCACATTTCATCATCAACAATAGCTCAGCCAGGGAGTCTAGTGCCCTAACAATTTGAGATGGCTTAAATAGGGGTAACTAGAAACCGTCTCGGGTATAAGCACATAGTGGATATCATATTCTCATCTAAGAAATAGAATCCTCAGTTGGACGAAAGTGACTCTGTAAGAGTTCAGCATAAACATCAGCACGATCCACATGAAGCCATACAAAATGCCTCTGCCACATATTAAGACATATTTGACACAGAAGAGCATCACAGACACTAAGTTCAAAACTGCAACAAATATTAAGACCAACAAAGTTCCATACTTGCAGCTATCAAGAAACAGTCATCAGGAAATGACAAAGCTTTCCTATTGATTATGAATACTACTCACACCAAACAATTCATATCGTGGAACTCGGATCACATCCTTAACCAGTCGCATTTTTAAACACGACAACAAACTCAATTAGAAGAAACCAATCGATAGAATAGAACAATGCAACCATCATTCGCAGCATAATACCCAAAAGCAGTTCTGGAACTTTTAACTAAACAGGAAGCTTACAACCATTAATGTATAGCATAATACCCAGACAGAGCTTGGAAATGTATAGCTGTTTTTGAGTTTTCCAGTAATGTATATTCCAGTTTGCCATTTCGCATATTCTTACAAATGAAAAGACCTGAAAATTTATAGCAGCAAGAACAGAGAAAAGCGAGAACAAAAGTTTCACCTCTTCTACTGACCTAATGATCCATGAAACCCAACTTTACCATTGTGCGAACCACCCGAACCGTATCCATACCCGTCGTGCCCATCTCTCCTCATCTTCTTCCCACTGCTACTCCCCCCACCTCCACCGCCGTTATTCTCCTCCACATCATCATACTCCTCCACGAAATAGTCCTTCCGCCTCCCTTTCTTCGCGGCACCGCCGCTAGCAGCCGGCGGCAACGCCCTATCCGCCCCATGATACCCGTACTGCGGCGGCGGCGCCACCACAGGCACGTGATGCCTCGGCCCTAACCCCCCGCCCAAAATGCTCCTCACGGGAAGCAGAAAGTAGAATTCCTTATCTCCGATTTGGAGCAGATCCTGCGAATCGAGCTTCACGAGAGGGTTCCCCGGCAGGTGGAGGACGCCTTCGACCAGACATCCGTTTTTTCCCAGGACCTCCAGAGCGAATCGCCGGCGGGTGAAGTCGTAGAAGATCCGAGCGTGGTGGCGGGAGATGTTCATCCCGCCGCCGAGGCTTGTGAGATCGACGTCGACGGTGGATTTCTTCGAGTTCCGTCCCAACACGATCGAGTATGTCTGCATATAGTACTCGAAATCCTCGCCTTGCAGCTTTGCGAATCCGGCTTCAACGTCGCTCCCGCTGGCCGTCCCCATCGCAACCGCGAATTTCCGAGATTCGTCGCCGGAGATGAAATTGGGAACACGAGCGGTAAGTTCCTAATAGACCGGCAGATCGGACAAAAAGTAGCTTCTTAGCTAGACCGGAAAACCAGTTTGGGCCATCGGCCTTAGCAGTCTTTTTAAACCAAAAGCCCACTGAAAAGTACTTCGGTATGGGCCCCGGCCCAGCACCAGGCCCATTGTCCAACTATATAAAGGAGAAGACTTGCTGACCTTTCCCCCGCGCAGGAGGTTCTTATTTTCTCAAGCAAAGCTAAGAGTCACCACCGCCGAAGGAGAATCGAGAGCTCGACGGCGCGGGAAGAAGATGATAATTCCAGTCCGTTGTTTCACTTGTGGCAAGGTTCCGGCGCTTCTCCTTCTCGAATGGTTCCTGTCCATTCATTTTTTTTTCTAGCTTGTGATTTTGTGTTACTCGCAAGTTATTTTGCTTTGCCTCCGTTTAATTCGTCGTAATCTAGGGTTTCTGATGGTTTGTTTCGAGTAGAGGATTAAATCAGTTTCCCACTCGGGTTGCAACGATTCATGAGGAAATAGGTTGCTTGCCTTGTTGTGGTGTTCATGGAATGCTGTGAATAATGTGTTGTAGGGTTTTTAAGTTTTTGTCTACTATTTGGTTTGCTCCAGGTGATTGGGCACAAATGGGATACTTACCTTGACCTTCTACAAGCTGATTACACTGAAGGGTGAGCTACTTTCCTCTCAAAGAATCTTATTTTCGTTTCCTGGGAGTGTAGATGTTTGATCACAAGTATTGGAGCTAGTAAGATTTCAAGTATGCACGCGTAGTCTAGAGGACCCATGCCATAGTATTTATTGTTATTCTTCCGTTTCTCGACCTAGTAATGCAGCACAAGTAACCTGCCTTCTTTAGGGTTGTTTGGTCCATGAGAACAGTCAACATTCTTGTCTCATTCATTTGTCCCGATTAGATGGGGGGAGTTTCATAGGCCTCTGTACTTCTCTGCTTTTTGTAGGTATCGAATTCTGGGTATTTGTATTCATGTCTTTCTTTGTCTCTGCTAAGATGTTCTGGGTTTTTGCATTGGTTAAGTAACTGTATACCCAATGATTCTTGCATTGGTTTTGCATCCGCATCCTTTGCTGGCCCTTTGAATCGATCTATCTCTGTTCTTTTTCTGGCTTCACATTTGAATTGCTACGAATGAGGCAGGCATGTGTTAAACGATAAACATGATATCTTCATAATGTGTGCTTCCATGTTGGTTAAGATAAAATCTTGCAGGGATCATGATGAAATCCTACTGTTAACTTTTTATAATTTGCATTGCAGGGATGCTCTTGATGCTCTGGGGCTGGTCCGTTATTGTTGCAGACGGATGCTCATGACCCATGTTGACCTCATTGAGAAGCTTCTTAACTACAATAGTAACTCCCTCCCTCTCTCTCTAGCTAATTCATGGGCGCTTGCTTTTGTGTGCATATTACTCACTTCTCTAACAAGTTGCATGGATAGAATGTGCTAGCACATGCATGTTGTAGCATTACTCTCTAAAAGTAGGGTCCTTTCAAGTGGTCTGCAGTTGGCCCAAGTATAAAGCTCTTGTATTAAGCGAGCTAGTTGCATTTATCCTTATCCTGGATACTAAATCCATGCCATCTTTGGAATAGCTATTTACTCGGTAGTCAACTGGTTTGAGCCCGCCATATGTTGCTGAAATAGATTGACAGACACCCCAAATAACATTTACTTTGGAGCATTATTCAAGTGAAAAAAGTTCACATTTTGTGTGAATCCATACCATAGTAATATGTAGTTTTGAGTCTTTATTCATCAATCATGTAACAGTGTTTCGGTTTTGTTTGTGTAAAATGCCAACTGTTTCCAATTTCCGTGCCTCTTCTTTTCACTGACCATGACCCCTTGTTGCAGCTCTGGAGAAAAGTGAGGGCACTTGAGGTAGACAGTCCCATCGACGTACATGAGCAGTTTTGCAATATCTTCGAAGGCTGAAATGAATGAAGGATGATGACTGGAGACCATGAGCATTCGGTGCAGTATGTCTGTGAATTAGGGCCGCGTGTACCCTAGGTTTCCTTGTAATGAATCTCTGCACTGAGATGTTGCTAGCGACCAACAGTAATCGAATCTGTCAATTAACGTTGAGATGATTTTAGCTTGAATACTGATGCTCCGGAATTTGCAGGTTGCCTAAACTTATGTTGTAGTATGTACGAATATCTTCATCATCGCAGTAGCGACTAGTAGGTATTCGTTTTCCTTCTAGTAAACATGGCTACTTGAAAAGCAGGCACTCGGGAGTTTACGTGATCCGAACCCAACACCTCTACGTTGTGGTGATGAAGAGCTTGTGCCCTGGATCTAGATTTCGAGGAGACGTTGGCTTCTTTCTTGTTCTTTTGCTGATTTTCTTCCATGGAGAAAAAATGAGTTGAATAAGCATGAACAAGGAACGGTCTACCACCAAAGTTGAGGAATTGTACATGTACGTTTCACTGGAGACAAGTACACACCAAAAATTGTACGATCCTTTCGAGAACCCAACCAAACCAACCAAACAACCAACATACAAAAGCTGTACTACAGCAACGATAGTACTACTACTATCTTGTTGTTCTGCCTTTGGAAAATGACTCCTTTTGTAGGTACATTTCCTTTCCTAGCCATGAAGTGAACACGTTTTGTTTTTTGAAAGTAGACCATAAACACAACCGTATACATTACATTACAGGGTGGTTAAGATTTATGGTTTCTTTCAATTAGAGTTTCTACGCTCAACGACCAACATACACGTTAAGTTCGTTGGATAATAATAACAACTTATGCAATGGTGTGAAGTGATAAATGTGTTTTGGTTTGTTAAATTGTTAATCGGAATATTATTTTATGACTATAGCAATAGAATTGATAGAAGATCCAGATTAAAACCTCTTCAATCGACCAAATTATTGATTCTTTGGATATGATATTAAAACGATCAGATTGAGAGATGTGTACAAGTTTTGGATTCATGAATTTAGTCATTTGGATTTAAACTCCTGATTTTGACAATTTTGTGCGTGCGTAAATATCTATTATTTACATCCACATGGTGGTGACACCAACTCAACTCCTACATTATTGGAACACAACTTGATCTGATCTGATCTGATCACATCGAAAAGCAGCTTCCCAATCTACCCCCACGCTTGACAAACCCTCCATCACCGGCCGCCGGGGAATCCCTCGCCGACCCACCACCGGTTAATTCGACGGACTCCGATCTCCTGCTCGCCGACGGCCGAGGCAGATTCTCTGGGACTATGGTCTCCAGCGAGTTGAGTTGCCACGAAGGACACATCCGCTTGTCGCTCCACCGTGGGCCCCTTGTTAATTTCTCGTTACCTCCCGCCGTTACTTTCTCCAGCAGATCCCCGGCGTCGGCTGCACCCGACGAACTCATCATGGCGCCGGCGGTCCAATCGCTGCCGGCGGTTTCGAGGCCGATCACCATGCACGCCATCCCCACCACGCAGTGGCTCCTCAACTTTTCGCCGTTGAACCTTATTGAAGATATAGCAACAGCAGAATGAATGATTGATTGATTTAATTTCAGATTTATGTAGAAGAAAAGCGATCGAGTGAAAAGGGGGTTTTGTTTAATTTGGTTACCGTGGAAGTTGGATGGCGGGGAAGGAAGAAGGAAGGGTACTGGTCGCCGGCGGGGGGGAAAGACGGTTGAGGCAGCAACTAGCGGAGCTCGCGGCCATACTTGTTCTTTTTCTTCTGCTTAATTAATTATGTTTTCCCTTTTGCTTTTCTGGCTCTGGCTCTTTTTCTTATAAATAAATTACTACTGTCTGTTTATGGAAAAGCAGCTTGGGTATTAAGATATTTATAGAAAATGGTCAAGAAAGGAGAAGTACAACTTGATGGCGGCAAAAATAATATTAAGGCTATGTTACACATCCTAAAATCCTAAAATATAATTAAAGATATAAGTGTGTTACTGTTGCACAAGAGCTGTGCTAATATGTGCGTGCGGTGGGTTACTTTTGATTGGGTCACAGACATTGATTTGCAGACCCATCATGAGCTTTATGCTTTTCGAGTTGGTTTTGTTAATTGGGCTTTTATTTGAATGTGTTTTTTTTCCTTCACCGAATTGTTTCTCCTGTCTATGTAGCTAGGCAGCTGTGGCTAGTCTCCATCCATCTCACGATTTCCTTGGAATTCCATCCCTGACACAACCCAAAATGCAACCACGATCAAGCTAGATACATGATGAATAGATTTGGATGCAAAACTAACCCAAAAACGCATCCGCACAGATAAAAAGAGAGGCTGATCAAAATTGCAGAACTTATAGAAATCGATAAAAGGGATGAACATACATAGCCGATCCGACGAAAAGTAAAAGAAACACGGAGAGAGGGGAAGTGAAAGGGCGAGCCAAACCGATTCATATCCTCACCACAACTATAGAGATGAACCTGCATGAAACCATTCCAAACAAACTATTGGATGACACTGAGCCCCGTGAAACCCAAAGCTTTTCATATCCAGGGGTTTGAAAATTGATCAAGGAAAAGCTTCACACCTCTTCACATTTGTTCAAAATTCCCAACCCACACGTTTGACAAAATGCCTACATCATTCGCTGAAGCGCAAACGCCGCCTCTTACATCTCTGGATCCCCATGGAACACCAAATTGAAATGCAGTAGCCAGTACGAGGTTGAAATCCAAACGAGTCACTAAAAACCAGACCGAGACCACGACGGGAGAAGACTCCTTCCGGGTGCTTGCATTGCATGCCACCAAATTTATCTAGGAACAGATCTGACTGAAATGACGACATACATGCCACAACCGTCCCTCTTGAGGATTTTCTTCTTCGATTCGATTAAACCCAGGAAAGAAGGATAAGATTCATCAATTTCACCATTATAATAAAAAAACAAGGATAAGATTCATACAAGTTCTTGCAATTTCGATCAACGGATGGGGTTGTACCGAAGATAAAAGGACAAGACTTAGAGCTCCACTTTCCGATTCATTGTCCAGCGGAACTGAAGCAGCGGAGAACAAGCCGGAGGAAATGGATTAGAGGATAGTTTGGGCGAGGAAGATAGAACGAAAGCTCTGTTTCGTTTCTTCTTTTGTTTTCTGAGGCGATTTACTCAAATTGTAGATGTGGTAGTGGCTCTCGGTAATTAGAAACTACAACGGGGTAAGAGTGAGTTTTTTATTTTCAATAAAGGAAGGGTCAAGAGGTGAAAACGGTGAGTTTCAAAGGATGGAGTTATGTTTATTTTTTTCCATTGTTGGGTTGTGGTAGGGATGACAACCAAACCCATGGTCGCGGGTACCCGACCGCCTCCGACCCAGTCAATACGGGAATCCCTGCATTGACTGGGTATAGGGCGAGTATGGATAAAACCCCCCAAAAAGGTTGATGGGTATGGGGCGGGTATGGTTTTTAACTCTCTTGCCCCATACCCATACCCAAACCCGCCCCACCAAGGATATTGTGTTATATACATAAAATATAAGGAGTGTATGATAACTTGTCAATCAAATGAAGAGTACTTAAAAGAAAAATAAACTGTTAAAATGTAATTGATGGCAACCAAACCGTAATTTCATCCTCTTATGTATTAGTTCAATAATTTTGGGTGGGTAGTACTAGTATCCATATTTGTCACCATATTCTTTTATTAATGGTGAGTAGTTGTTGGGGCGGTATTACCCATGGGTATCCGAAAACCGCGGGTATGGGGATGAGTTTCTAAGAACTTTCACTGCATGGGTAATTGATGGCAACCAACCGTAATTTCATCCTCTTATGTATTAGTTCCATAACTTTGGGTGGGTAGTACTAGTATCCATATTTGTCACCACATTCTTTTATTAATGGTGAGTAGTTGTTGGGGCGGTATTACCCATGGGTATCCGAAAACCGCGGGTATGAGGATGAGTTTCTAAGAACTTTCACTCCATGGGTATGAGACGGGTATGAGTTTGAATATTTGGAAATGTGGATGACATTGGTTTAGGCAAACCCGCCCTATTGTCATCTCAAGGTGTGGTGTTGGTTACTCTAAAACAAGCATACTTATTTGAATTTACTTATTATCATGTATTACTCATTAAGATAAATAACTTTATAACAAGAAAATCATTCTCGTATAATGAAGGTGTGTCGCTTACAATTATTTAAGGTGTGCCGAAAGTTCCGAATTAAAAAAATTTGTACAAAAAATATATAGGTACTTCACAAAATTTTCGGGCGAGGGTGTGTCGGACGACACACCCTGCCCTTTACTAGGTCCGCCACTGTACATATGACATACCAAACATAGAAATTCATTTGACAATGAATTCTGCACCGCAATTCATTTTATTTTTAAGGATTTGAATATGACATACCAAACACAAGATTTCATTTGACAATGAATTCTACAGGATAATTCATTTTAAAATGAAATGAATTCTTGATTTATTTGGTACCAAACGGTCTGTAATACTTTTTTAGGTAAAAAGTTAAAAGCTAAAATTTAAAAATACACAAAAAAAATGAATGCATATGGCCCATGGGCTTGCAAACAACAAGTCGAAAACCCTCCAAAATATGACGCTGCGTAGCGCGTCTAACTCGCCTAGTATAAAATAGAATCAACAACGATATTATATTGGTAGATTAAAATCAGTTTTGCTATAGGATGTCTATAAAAATAAAACTTGGATCACCACACCCGATATTCATTGAATCGGAAGCTAGCATTTCATGCCAGTCGAATGGATGTAAAACTATTTTATCTTTAAAAATATCATCGCATTTCATGCAACAATTGCATGGCTTCCACTCTCAATTTGACAGATATGAAAAACTGTGAGCACATTTCAACAAAATCATATATGAACACCATAACCCAATTAAATTGAAATAGTCATCCCAATCGAAAACTTTCTCCGTTAGTTATGGTAGGTGAATTGATTGAACTGCGAACATATGACACGTGGGCAATGAAAAATGGACACTTCCACACCCTCCCGGTCAATCTAAGCCTTGGTTTCGATTCCAATTCCTAGTTGGTCTCTTTGGTTTCTTTGTTAGTGAAAGTTTTGGCGCTTCTCACACGGACACGGCGTGTTGGAAATGGTTTCTTCTAATTCGTCTTTGGAAGCTGCCTTTGATTTGATGATATTTGAGCCGGGGACAAATCCATCCCCATCGCCCTCCCTCACAAACTTCCTCTTAAATCGAGTTCACTAGGCCAAAGGCCCATATGGTGCTACGAGATGGATCCAATGGCCCATTCCATGCCACATCCATAGTTTCATGCTAAGCCCACATGGTGAGAGGAGCTCATGAAGCTGGACATAGTCTGTTCACAAAGTGACAAATAGATGGACGGTATCCACAAAACACAAGAGATATTTATTTTTCATACGAAACATCTAACTTAATTGACAATTCTTGTTTTCAAATTAAGCAAATAATTTTTTCTATAAAACTATAAATTTCACGTGTTCAATATGCAGAATCAATGCTAAAATGAGTGTTCTACCAAAAATGTTATCAAAACTATGTCAGGGTATATTCAAAACGAACAATGTAAGCGACTTAGCCGGAATTTTTTTGTTGATAACCTCAAATCAATCAATCGAATATTGATTAATACATAATTGATCAAACACTACTTGAAAAAGATTTATGGCTCTTCTGCTCAGAAATGAAATGTTCATGGAAATTCTTGATCCGGACCATTTGTATCTATATGCATTAGGATCCCTTCTCTTGGTTGGAGGAAAGAAAAACTAAGAGGTTGAAACCATTTCTTATGACTTTGTTTCAAATTTGATAAATGTTCGTTGGTTCGCATCTTCACAAGCAATCAATCATGTTTATTTCACTGAACCCTCCCCAAGACAGTACCCCAATTATTATGCCTTTTTTGCAGGTCATAACTTACCCTGCAAAGAATTTCATCATCACAGGACAATTATAATTATGATTGAGACTAAGAAAATATCTCACCCGTTCAAATAAACAAACTTTTTTTTGTTGTGTGTTGTTGACTCGTCAAGAACTACACGCCGAAACTTTGAATTGAAAAATATTGTTTTGAAATTGAATGAAAAGTCTACTAGCCCTGCCTACTGCCTAGCTAGCTAGTAGAGTAGGGAGGTGAAGTTAACTTTACGGGAACGGCTAGGATGCTAACTTTATAAGAGTTAGCACCATGTTAATCATTTCGATCACCGTTCATTATTTTAAGTTGAATCTAACGGTGCAAAACACTAAAGGGCATATTTGGTATTTGAAATTAATTAATTAATATTTAAAAGCTATTTTTTACAAAAATTTAAAAGCTATATCATGTAAATTATATACAACCCTCGTTACTTTAATTAAATAAGTAGTGGTCAGTGGTTTGTGGTTAGGTAACCAATTCGTAGAGCGAGAGCGTCTATTATTCAAGAATTCTTTTCAGAGAGTGTGATCAGAGCGTCATATTAAATTATTTTAAATTGATTATTTTAATAATATATAATGATATATTACATCAAACATAATCGTGTACTAGGAAAATTTTGATACAAGCAGTTCGACCGGAAAATCGCCTATGCGAGCCCAAATTAGTAGAAAATTTTTGCTATATGAAATGATCGAACCACAATTAAACCACGACTTATATACAAAATATTATATAACACAGTATTTCAGTACCACTTCCAATACGATTTTTCTTGGAGAAAAGTCCAAGAATATACATAGTTATAACCTGACTTAACGTTTTATTAATGACAACTTTAAAGTATAAACGATTGTTCTAAAATAAAATAATAAAAGCTTTAATTAAGCCAACATATATGTTACCCAGTCTTTTAATGAGGTACGTGGTCCAAGACTCCAAGCACCTAAAACTTAGCAGGACTTATTACCAAACATCATTATTCTATCCAATCCGCGCTCTAGGGAAGTTAAGATCGCGAATTTATGCCGAATTGCTGGCAACTCGCGCTTTCACACGCCGGAGCGGGAGCGGCACGCTCACTACCACGAATTAGGTAAGCTAAGTTTGTAGTAGTGATTTCATAATTTTAGTGGTGATTTTATTATCATTAGTAGAGATTTTATCATCATTAGTAGTGATTTTAAAATAGTAGAAATTGACGATTTTTAGAAAAAAAATCGCTACTGAATATAAAAAATACATGAGTAACTACACAAAACACTAATAATATTAACAAAATAAATACTCATTATAACAAAAATCACTAATAACACGTATAAAAAACACTACTAACCAATCACTACGCATTAACAGATCTGGGAAAAACTGAACATTAAGAAAATACATCAAAATTTCTATTAAAAAAAATCAATAACCTAGTGGTCAATTTTAAGAAACACTACTATGCAGATAACTTCCGCAATCATTCAGATGAACTTTCAATTGGCTTCTCGGATTCTTAAGGGCTTGGAGTTCCCTTTTGCTCCCAGATCTAGTAAAAGGGTCGGAGAATGTTGGCGTGGTCGAGGGAACAGATCTGACCCGCCGTCCGCTTCTCGTCGATGTCAGAAGCGTGAATGCAAACCCGCCGTCGTCGCATCACAATGAGCCTCTGGTTTCTCGTCGGCGTCAGAAGCACGAACGTCCACCTTCCTTCGCAAATTCCTTCTGTTGTGGCCGCCGTCGATACACTTCTCACCGTTGTTGAAAGAGAATGGAGGGATGGGTGGTTTTTAGAGAGAGAGTCTGTGAGGGGAAAGTGAGGCTGAGCATTAGTTTTACATAATGATCGGTGCGGCTATTAGGGGTTGGGATAGAATATATATTAGGGTTTGGGATTGTTTTTACCAAAGTAGCCTTTTATTAATTTTAATCGTTATATTAGATTTTTATTAGAAACATGGTTAGCACCTAATCCCATCGGGCGAAGATCAGGAGATTAGGGGGGGTCCCTTAGTCACATGACTAAGTCAATCTCCACCCTTGCACCTCATTAAAATCCAATGGCCCAGATTAATTTAATTTAATGAAGGACAATATAGTAATTACATGATTATATAATTTATTAATTAAAACCAGGGGCGAATCGCTAAAGGTCGAAGTCAACGACTTGTGGTCATAGCTTGTCTAGTCTGGTTGACAGGCTGGCCCTTCCTTGATTGGCTTTGGGTGGGCGACGATCGTGGGCGAGATCTCTGGTTCAAGTACAGGATGGCCCAGCTGAATAAAAAAAAAGCTGCTACCTTCTTCGTTCGCCGTCTCCTAAAACCTCCGACGTGGTACCTTCCCGTCTGCGCCGACCGACCTTTTGCTGGGGATTTTGGTGGCTGCCATGGCCCATGGCCATACTTAAGAGAGAGAGAGAGAGAGAGAGAGAGAGAGAGAGAGAGAGAGTTTTCTAATGATCGGAGGAGACTTTTCCGGCGACAGTGCTGGATTTGTGATGTTTGGTGACCTATTTTGTAATGTTTGTATAGATTCGGTTTGTATTATTTATCATTCTTGTTTGTCATTTTTAGTGACATTTTGTACGGTTAGTATGCTTTGTACTGTTTGTCGGTTTATTTTGTAATGTTTGTACGCTTTGTTATTTTTTAATGTTTGTCGGTTTCTTTTGTAATGTTTGTAAACTTTGTTATTTTTGTGCACCATGTTTATCATTTTTGTCAACCATGTTTATAATGTTTTTCATGTCTAAAAAACAACCTGGTTGACTTTTGGATGTAACTCCTCTATATAGGGATGGAGCCTCCAAAGTCAACCCAGGTGTTTTTTCCAGTTTGTATGGATTGTCGGTCTAGTTTGTCATTTTTGTCCACCATGTTCGTAATGTTTGTATGTCTAAAAAACAACTGGGTTGACTTTGAGACGGAGCCCTCTATATAGGAATGGAGCCTCCAAAGTCAACCCGGTTGTTTTTTCTTTTTTGTATGGTCTGTCGGTCTAGTTTGGATTATTTGTACAATTCATACGTCTGTAATGTTTGTAAATATGTTTGTATGTTTTGTCGTTGTAGTTTGTACTGTTTTTATGGTTTGTACTGATTGTAATTTCGGTTTGTATACTTCGTAATTTTCCATAATATCCAAACTACCCCTGTCATTAATTAAATAGCGCTTCCTACTTTTTAACCGTCAGATTACTGTGTCCAGATCTAAAACTACGGCATGAGAAGGTCTTAGCCAAGTGACTAAGCACCTTAGTGATGGGATCCGCACTCTAATCCCATCCCCTAACTTCTACCGGAAAAAAATGTAAAAGCGACGTTACTGTCGCCATTTACAACATCTACTTATTCAAACGACACCGTTACTTGCCGATCTCTGACCTACTGGCTACTGCTACTACCGAACCCGGCCACCAGCTATTATTGACTCCGTGACTCGGAAAGGGAAAACAAAACGGTCAGAGAAGAGAAGAGAAGAAGCAAACCACAAACAGCAACCCGTCGCGTGTATCTATCGCCACCAGATTCGCCCTCTCTTTCTCTTTCTCTCTTTGGCGGTGCCTCACCTCGACCCAGTGTAGGATTTGTAGATCCAAATCGGCCCTGGACTGTTTGCTTCTCCTGTAACTTGCTAATATTAGCCCGATTTCCCTGCATCTGTTTCTCTATCTCTCACGAAAGCTCGTTTCTTTTCTTATTCAACGGCAACTGAAACAGAAGAAGAACCCTAGTCAACAGCAACCGACGCTGAACTGTCCCAGTCAAACTCGCCAAACGCCTCTCCCTCTTTCTTTTCTAACCTGAACGGTTCGCTACTCAATTGGGTTTCCGCCGCTTGCTATTGGGTCCTGAAGAAACAGTAGAACAGAGCCTGAGAGTAAACGGAGGAGTTTCTTCCTTAGATTCCGGGTTGTAGAAAGATTTGGTGGGAACAGACATGTGAAGAAGATGGAGGGGACAAAAGGGTATCTTGTGAATGGTGGGGAGAATAGTAATGGGAGCTCTAGCAATGGCATTCATAGGCTATCTTCTCCCAGCCTCCCTCCACCTCCGCCGCCATCGTCGTACCGGCAGCGTTTCGTCAATGCTGGTGTGCCCGTGTCTTGTAAGAGGACTCTGGTTTGCCATCCGTCTCTTGTAAGTTCCCCCCGCTCCCCATTTTGGCCATTCTTTCTCTATTGAGCTGAGATCGAATTTGGCTCTCGGTTAGTGTTGCTGTCTGTACATTCAAATTGGGTGTGTTGTTGATATCTATTGAAATAATTGGATAGGACTAGTATTTCCGTGTAAAGGTTATAACTTTTATTCTCACTTGGATTGGCAATTGAAGATGTAAGCTTTTCCAACTCAGGGGTTTCGGTGATGTATGAGTTTGTTTCTGTTACTTGTTTTCTTACCTTGAGTTTGCCCTTTATGAAGATTGAAAGTGTGATGAGTAATCAAGAGGTGGCATAGGGTAGAGGTGAGATTTGAGGTTATTTTTTTCCTGTCTCTCTGGCCAGTTAGTTCCGACCACTTTCTCTTAAGATTGTTGAGATAGGGATTTTGGACTTGCTATCATGAACTCCTGCGTTGGCTTGCATTTTAATCGGGAACATTCGTCATTTTGATGGATTCTTCACAGCTTTTTGCCATCACCTTCTTAGTAAATGTCACTTCTTTCACTTTCCAGTATGTTTGTCTGTGTGTGGAATATAGCCATTTTACATGTTAAGCTAAGTTTGTCAGCGTTGCAGTTTCTTCTACCTAGTATTCTTTGTGCATTTCATTTTGGATTCTTATTAGCATTTCTGTGCAGGTGAAGACATCTGCATTTGACATCTCTGTGGAATCTGAAGTTAGCATACGAACCCACCTCCCTGATTATACTCCTATTGTCCGCTCGAGAGCTTTTTCGGATATTGGCTTTCGCTCAAGAATGGAGGACGTCTATGCATGTATTGATGATTTTACAATTGATAATGGTCTCAGACATGATATTGATGGGCCTAACGCTTTCTATGTGGTATTTCTCTCTCGTCTTTCAATTGCGATCTCCCCCTCCCTTTTGTGAATGCTCAAGTTCTGGATAATTTAATTACTACATATTTACTAGGTATATGGTATTGTACCATTTGTCAGTCTTCTCATGACAAAATTGTTGAATATTCGATTGACCGTTGTGTTAGATTGTGGCAAATATTAAGACTGCAGGTTTTTTATGTCAGAGTTTTTCTTCTTGCCTGTATCAAAAGACTTGACATGTTTGTCATCATTGATCCTAGTTCAGTCATGTCTTCAGCCTTCACTGGTGATTATTCTGCAAATATTGGATGGTCATTAGAATATTGATCCAAACTTTTTATGTTGGGGACATTGCGGCCAGGTGTTTGATGGGCATGGAGGGAAACACGCTGCAGATTTTGCATGCCACCATTTGCCGAGATTCATCATTGAGGATGAAGACTTTCCTAGAGTTATAGAAAGGGTCATTGCATCTGCTTTTCAGCAGACTGATAGTGCTTTTGCAGAGGCGTGCTTGCTTGATGCTGGTCTTGCTTATGGTACCACTGCTTTGGTTGCTTTAGTTATGGGAAGGTTAGTAGATGTTTTATCTTGCAAATATACGAGCAGTTAATGAATCAAGTTTATGGATGGTTCCATGGCTTATCATTTAAGTATATGTAATAGTGGAGCACCTTTTGAACATTACGTGACTTCTTTGGAGACTCTTTTTGCAACTTGTACTTGTATATGCAGGGCTGAGATAATCTCATGCCCCTAGTAATGTATCGTACACCTTGGTTCTTAGTGATCCTTTAGTGTTTGAAGGGGCTTTAGAATGCTTCGAGCACAGAAGTAGAATGCTGTGTTGAAGTCAACAAGTTGAATGACTTGGCCCTTTACTGTCTAATCACTAGTAAATGCTACTCAACTAGACTTTGTTTCTTGATGTCTTGTTTGCACTATGTCCTTTTTTTTGCAGGGTAAGAGGGGTTTTTCATTTATTAATATCGGAGTTGTTTGTTTGGTTGTTTGGTTTCTTGATTTTCAATATGTGATGACAGGTTATTGGTGGTGGCAAATGCTGGAGAATGCCGGGCAGTGCTTTCTCGGCGTGGCAAAGCAGTTGAGATGTCTCGCGATCACAAGCCAGGCTGCACCATAGAACAGAAACGCATCGATGCATCTGGAGGATCTGTTGATGATGGCTACCTAAATGGACAGCTCAATGTTGCTCGGGCAATAGGAGATTGGCACATGGAAGGGCTGAAAGCCCTGGAAGGTGGTCCGCTTAGTGCCGAGCCTGAGCTAATAACCACAGAGCTGACAGAAGATGATGAATTCCTCATCATAGCATGTGATGGAATATGGGATGTGTTCGGGAGCCAAAATGCAGTAGACTTTGCCCGACGGAGGCTTCAGGAGCACAATGATCCGGTTGTCTGTAGCAAAGATTTGGTTGATGAAGCCCTAAAGAGGAAGAGTGGGGACAATCTATCTGCTGTTGTTGTTTGCTTTCAGTCTGGGCCACCCCCAAACTTGGTTGCCCCACGTTCTAGGGTGCAGAGGAGCTTCTCTGCCGAGGGCTTGAGGGAGCTGCAGAGCTTCTTGGACGACTTGGCCAATTGAGATGATGATGACGACTGGTTCCCTGTTGTTTTACCGGTTCCATTTTCCTAGTAGAGTCCACTAATTTGAATTTATTAGGTTTAATTTTAGCCTTTTAGGTATTGATGAGTCAATCCCAACTGTAACATATGTGGCTGCAAGGTGGTGGTAATTTTCTTCATAATCTGTTCTCCCTCGTTGAAGTAGGCAAGGCATATGCCTTGACGTTGGAACTATTTATTCCATGGTGATCAAGCAATCCTGATAACGAGAAGGACACCGATGACTTTTAAGTCTGGTGGATGGCGCAGCGGCATTAGGATGTGACGTCTTAGCATCTGTACCATGTCTTGACTTTTTGTTTCTCATCGTTTAACTTGTTCAGCAAGGAAGTTTGTGTACTGTCTGGTAGCATGGTGTAGGGGTCAAGTTCCTTCATATTTGTTAACAGGTCATTCATAATATATAAGAAATGGATTTTCAACAGAGAGAATTGCAGATATTTCTATTTAGATGTAACCTGTTCCAGTTTAAGGGCATTTCGGATGAGATCTTGATTGGTATGTTCTTTAGTAAAATTGCAGTTAACTTGCAGAACTAGCAAAAAGGAGAAGAGAGATCCAAGATACAAAATTGGCCGAGTATGTAATTTTGCAATATGGAACTTCAAAATATAGGCAGCTGCTTACAGTACACAGATAATTTCGAAACTTGTCTCATCTCTTTTGGAAATTGAAGGCCTTGATGGAGACTGCAAACATGAAGCCAAAAAGGACTGAAATTCCCACAAGAACTATAGCAACTACCCCAACGAAATCATGTCTGAACCCGAAATAGTCTCGGAGGAACTCCTCTACAGTTTCATCACTACCATCGAAGGTCTCCGAAACGTCACCATACTGTGAAGCCACCAGTCCATACAATGTCCAAGCCACTGGGCATGCCCAGCAATACCATCTCCACCAGATTGGTATCCTCTGGAAGTTAACCCATTTTAACTTGAGTCAGTAAGAGAAAACTTAAAGCAGCAGAAAGGTTGATAAGCAAGTCAGAAGGTGGCTTACCGGGCGAGGCACGACAAAACCAGAGAAAAGGTTCCATAACCCGAAGAAGGCAGTTGAAATGATGGCAGCGATGTTATGGTTTGGAGAGATGGCAACCGTCATCATCCCATAGAGAGTGAAGTACAACAATGTGAAGTACATGTAGAAGATGTACCAGAAGAACTTGACTGCTGTCCATTCGAAACCTATCATGGCGTAGACTATGACTCCGTATAAGATGGTTTGGACCAGAACGTAAGGAATTTCAATAACCACCTGTCCGAAAGCGTATGGCAACTCGGAGTACATCCCAGCTGCTCTTTCTCTGTAGAAAACTGTTCTCTCGATGGATACAATCGGTTGCACTCCTGAACTGTTCTGGAATCCAATAAACAAAACTGCTGCATACATGGAACCCATTGAGTTCAGAATATCCTGTTGCGTTCCTCTGCAAAAGATAAGAAAGGAAAGTTTCAATCTTTACTCACTAATCCAGAGCAACTGAAGAGTGAAGAGATGATGCATTTCTCCATGAATAACATACCTTTTGGAGCCTAGATTCCAGAAGATTGTCCCATACATGAGAGCTATGAATACTGTGAAGATCAATCTCACAGCATTATAAGGCGGGTTTCTCCAGTAAGACCAGTGTTGCTTCTTCAAGCAAGCCATGCATTGAGTGAAGAAAGTTTGAGCGTATTGCGTTTGGAAGAAGAGATCGTTTGAACCGGGAAGTGGTGAGCTTAGCTCCTTAATCAAGTCCTTGTTCCTCTTGTACAATTCTGAGTTCTTATATATGTCTGTGAAGTTGACCCCAAGATTATCTTCTTGTGCTGCTGTGGTGACCTCTAACATCCAGGTTGCAGGATTGTATCCGTCCTTTATCTTTGGAACTCCTTCATTTGCCTCAAAGTACTTGATGAGATGGCAGGCATGGCGACCAATTGGACCGACAAAGATTTCCTCCCCTCCTCTCTTCAACAGGAGCAACTGTGTAAAACATTTGACACCAATAAGAAAAACATTTCTAATTGTGGTGAAAGCTAGAAAGTGCATAATGCTTAGACCTAACCTCATCAAAAGCATCGAATATGTCGATGCTAGGCTGATGAATGGTGCATACCACAGTTCTTCCCGTATCTACCGTATTCCTCACTGTTCTCATTACAATTGCTGCTGCTCTTGCATCGAGTCCAGAAGTTGGTTCGTCCATGAAAATTATGGAAGGATTGGCCACAAGCTCAACTGCAATCGTCAGCCTCTTTCTCTGCTCAGTTGATAGACCATTCACTCCGGGCAATCCTACGAGTGCATCTCTCAGTGGAGTCAGCTCCACTAGCTCCATCACTTCCTCAACAAACATCTGCAAAACCAGAGAATCTTTCTCAATTACTCAGAAAATGGAAATCTTGATCCACAAACAGACAATTTTTTTTTGTGTGCTGACCTTTTGTGTATTGGAGTTTGATTCAGGAGAGAGCCTGAGCCATGCTGAGAAGATCAACGACTCGTGGACTGTAACATGTGGGGAGTGGATATCTGTCTGCTCACAGTAACCTGCAATCCTAGCAAAAGTTTCTTGCTTCTTGGGGTACCCTGAAATCTTAATACTTCCATCAATATATCCACCAGTTTTTCTCCCAGCAAGAACATCCATCAGAGTAGTCTTCCCAGCTCCACTGACTCCCATTAGAGCTGTCAGGACTCCTGGCCTGAAAGCTCCACTGACCCCCTTGAGAAGCTCCAGACGGTCCTCTAGGATCCCCTGGACTTTCATCTCATCTGGCATGTCTACTGAATACCTAATCTCATCGAAGGTTATCGAAAGTGGAAGGAATGGAAGGACCATTCCTCTTCTCTTGTCCTGATCGAAGTCACCAACTCTTGCTGAAGGTGTCCTGGAAGAAATGCTTCTCCTATTGCTTTCATTGTTACCTCTTTCTGAGAGTTCCATACTAGATCTACGTGAAGTAGTGTTCTCTTCCGAGTCTTCTTTTGAGATGATGGCCTGAGGCTTACCAAATGCTACAAACCAAAACAAGATGAACACCATTGAAACATCAGGTGGGGAAACACTCGGTAGAGGTGGAAAATGGGTTTTGTTGGTGGCTCATGCGAGCTAGATACTCACGATCGAGATACTTGAGAGCGACAATGAAGAGGAAATTGAAGAGAATCAAGGATGCAATCAGTGCTCCAACTCCAATCCAATACCAGTATGCATAAGGGAATAGTCCACGGGACTTGAGAATCTGAACTCCAAGCGACTCAGTCGAGTTAGGGGGCACCTGCAATGATCGAGTTTTGGAGTGAATGAGCCATGAGAGCTTGAAATGCACTATATGTTGATTGATTGAGGGCTTAGTAGTTTATGTACATGGCTCCAACTGTGGCCGAGGAATTCGTTGACAGTGACAGCATTCTGCAAATACATCAACGGGGAGATCCAGTAACCCCACAGCCACCATTTCTTCACATTTTCTGAAAAGAAAAATCACATAATCTTAGCACTAGTTCAGCCCGTAGAAGATTGAGAATGGATGTATGAATCAATGGGGAGATCCAGTAACCCCACATCCACCATTTGCTACATGCATACCTCTTGAGATGATGAATCCGCCCAGCACTAGAACAGTAATCAAACCTAATGATCCAATTGTGTTTGCAACGATCATGTTCCTTCCCAGTGCTGCAGTGAGTCGAAACAACCCCGAAGCCATCTGGTTTGCAAGAACGAATAACAGGTACTGCTTCACAAACCTGCCATCAGTATTTTTGTATCATTTCATTAACTTTTATGTGCATGGCAGTCTAATTATAGACTCTGCATAGAACTCAAATAGCTTTAGAACAAAAACCAGTCCATATTTGAGTTAAGAGAACTCGTAAGGGCCTAATTTATTAAGAGCTGACTTGAAATTTCGACTACACTATCCCAAACAATACTTTTACTAAAAATTCATTAGTGACTTTGCTTTACCTTCCAATGTTTGGATCAAAGCCAATAGGATAATAAGTGAGGATGACCCATATTGCAACCTCTACAAACGTGATGGGGATCTTGAGCACCCAAGTAGGAAGAGCATACGCCCATGCAGGGAAGAAGAGAAGGTCTCTTTGCTTGTAGAACACTGGAAGCTTGTGGATAGTCATTGCCATCTCCGTGAACCCATTGAAAACTATGATAATCATCCCATAGAAGATAGCCCCCATGTAAGTCCCTCCATCGTTCATTGTCTCGTGATGCATATTCGTCCTTAGGAACACCGTCATCGTCAGGAAAGCCATAACCACAAGCTGGGCCATCTTGAAAATGTAGGCAAAGGAGTTCCTCTTCATGAGCAAATACTCCCTTGTGATGCAAGCTTTCAGAAGTTCCTTCTTGTTGACACCAAATTTCTCGGTAGTTAGTGCAGCAGGGTGGCCTTTCGACTTGTCGAATGGAGTTGCCAGCTCATCTCCTTGCTTCCTGCCAATGTGGAACGACTGAAATGCTTCTGCCAACTCCTTTGAAGTGATGAAGTTGTAAGGCTCGTCTCTTCTCACCCAGTACTGCTCCTGATCCTTTCTTGATGTTACTTCTTGCAAGAAGTCTGCTACTCCTTTCCTCTCCGGGCATCTGAATCCCATGTGCTCGAAGAACTCGAGCATATTTTCTCGAGGGCCTAGGTAGACAATGTAGCCGTCGGAAAGAAGAACGATATCATCAAAGAGATCATAGGTTTCTGGCGCAGGCTGCAAAAGAGAGATAATGGCAGTTCCCTCGAGGATGTGGATGGATTGTTTTAGTGAGTTGACTATTTGGAAGGTAGTTGAGCTGTCTAAACCAGTAGATATTTCATCCATGAATAGAGCTCGTGAAGGTCCAACCATCATCTCCCCTGCATTATCAAGACAAAGTACGAGGGTTAAGAGATTTGGTCTTGAGCACTACCCTTAACAATGATGGTTTCGTCGTTTTTACCAGTTGTAACTCGCTTCTTTTGCCCTCCTGAGATGCCTCTAACCATTTCATCGCCCACCAATGTATCAGCACATACTTCAAGCCCTAATATCTGTGGGGAGAAAAAGGAACAAACAGATCATTAAACCAGACATAAAGATTAAAGACACAAGTTTTTACCATGGTATAGTTGATTAATTTATGCCGTATATACCTTGAGAATGTAATCAGTAACCACATTGGCTTCTTGGCCTTCCAATGCTGCTGCCTGCAAGATTCCACCAAGAACTATAGCTTGTTAGTTCACAGTTGCATGAACTAATCAACTAGGTGTAATATTTCGATAAGATTTTGCTTCCTCACCTTCATGTAGAGGTCAATATCAGGATCTGGCTTGATGCTTGCTGTTTTCTCTCTTCTAGATAGTTCAGTCAGAATATCTGTAGGTATTATCAGGTTGTGTTACATAGCCAGCAAGTTGGACTACTCTCAAACTGAAGTTCAATTACACCA